CTCCATCATCTGCTGGGGTAACAACATCAGAGCAAATGACTTAGAAAAGCTCACTAAGCTGATAAAGAAGGTCGGCTCTGTTCTAGGAACTCTTCTTGAACCTCTGGAGATGATTTCACAAAGAAGAATTTTTCATAAGAACTGTTCAGGGTGTACCCCGCCTCTCGCCCATTGACAGCTGGAGATAGGCACCAGCACCCCTTGCGACCCCGAAAGGGGTGACAGAAAATGGATGGATGGAATTCTTCATAAAGTCAAGAACATTATGGACAACATTGGTCAGAAGATCCTGCCTAAATTAAATTACATTTAATTGAACTGAATTGAATTGATTAGATCTGCTTAGTTTTGCAGGCTGCACATAGGCCTGGTGTTTATTCAACATGTACAATCATGAAAACACCCTGTAGGACCTGTCTGACAACATGAAGCATGTTTGAATATTTTATAATGTAACACATAATGCCCTAATCTAAGAAATTCAGGAACATATGTTTACAGAAGGAATTCACAGTTATATATATGCAAAGCTTTATAAAGCAATTTCTTAGACTTTGGGACTCCAGTGAACAACAGTAAGAACCAAAAGAAAATATGGGTGATAGACTGAACTGCCCAGTAGTGATCAGCCAACCACACTTACTCCAAGAGCACTTTGTCTGCTCATCTTAGAATTCAGAAATAAATTACATTTGTAAATTTCTACATGCCTCACTTGCCTCAGTTAAAGTCAGAGACCATGATGCAACTAGTACGAGACTGGGAAACAATGACCTCCAAAGCATGAACATCATCAGAAGAAAAGAAACACCAAGGTCCATCTTAGATTAATTCAAAAGTACCTTGCTGATCCCTATTTCTATTTTTGTAAAGGGGGACACATTTTCTACTTATTGAATGGTGAGCCTCCTGCTACTGTACAATTAGAGTTAGACCAACATGAAGATTGGATACAAATTCAAACTGACGACAGAACATCACCTGCATTCAATCACCTAATCATTCACCTCTTATCGTGTCCTGTGACTTTAGGGTAAGTTGCACAAGGTTAGGGCAAGATGATAACAAGACCATTGTGTCTTGTTATCAACTCGGGTGAGGAAAAATAAAAAAAGCTAAATAAAAAAAAATATATAGGTTAATAAAGCAAGATAAATTTGCTAAGAAAATAAATATTGTTCTATGAAAACAGACTTGAGTTCCTTCTGCATGGTGTTTGCATGTTTTCTCTGGGTACTCTTGTTTCCTCGCACTGTCCAGGAACATGACTTTTAGATTGATTGGTATCTCTAAATTGGTGTGAACATCTGTGTTCCCTGTGATAAGAGGGCACGCTGTCCAGGGTCTACCTTGTTTTTCACCCTGAGACAGCTGAAGATAGGGTACCACCTCCTATTCAGATGGATGGATGCATAGATTGGTTTTGATGTAATTTCTGCTGAAAAGCGAGTTTTACACTTTTAGTATTTAAAATAGATATGCTAACTGGAAAAAGACCCACGGCATTCATCTTAAATTATATAAATAAAATAAAAGACTAGGAAGACACATTATGCTGTGGCAGGATATCAGACATCCCCCTGAATCCTAATTAGCTTGTCTAGACCTAAGTAAACAACATTTTCCCAGTGGGCACTTTATATTTGGCTCTTCTGCTGCACTGAGTCAGCATTATGCGTTCTTCACATTCTACTAATAGAGTGTGCTAAATATACCTGTAGTACACAGCAAAAATAATTACACAGCTATTCCAGATGCAAGAACAAAGATATTACTATCTTACTAACATTTTAGGTGTTGGTTCTTCTAATAAACCTGATTGCTTTTCAGATGAAGGGTAAAAGCTGATATTCAGCAGGCCACACACACATGCCTGAAAAGGCTTCCTTACACTACAAAAGGAAGAAATTCAACATTTAAAGGAATGTGATGATAATAACAAGGAAGCACAGGGAAAATATCAGTTTAAAAATTACCTTGAGAATAGGAGCCTAGTGGATAGCTCAATGTTAAATGCATGATAAAATTAGCTGATGCAATTGTTGCTAATTCTTAGAAAGCAGCAGGGAAAACTCCAAACATTGCTCACATGGAAATCATACCATCTTATAATTAGCACATCACTTGTCTAAACCATTTGGTTTCTAACCTCAGATGGACAGTATATCTTACCCTTCTAGAGGATTACTCAGTGTGCAGATATTTATCCCCACCCTCCCATTAGATATACTGCAATAAGCAGAGTGGTCACAGAAATATGCATGGTAGCAAAGTAATCCATCAGGTTGCTGAGGAGATATACATTTTCCTGCTGATAGATAGCTGGCTATAACATGAGCATCACTAGAAGACTTAGCACTCAGATAGTGAAGACCTCTGCCGAGCAGCAAAATTTGCCCCAAATTGCGATCTACAGTGTATAGCTAAAACTTGCATGTGAACTGGATCATTACTAGATTTTAATGAATTGTTCCTTGGTTTGAGGCACGCCTCTTGTAAAGAAAATTCTATAAATGTCATGAAGCAGTGTTTGTATGGAGGACCCAAACGCAGAGTCCAGTAGGCAGAGGTGAATTAAAGCCTGTTTATTCTGGTACACAGATACAGAAGCAGGAATCAGAGTCCAACTGAAAATAACAAACGTACCAGAACCAAGGAGACATCAGGGATTAACCTAAACCAGAAGCCAGGGAGAGACGAGACAAGGCAGGCAGATGATAGACGGGAAGTAAGACGAGGATCCAGCTAACAGGAACTGAAGAGGGAGGGCTTTTAAAGGGGACAGAGACAAAGAGAGAGCTGACGAGGAAATTGACAACAGGTGCTGGCAGGACAGAGAAACAGAGCAAGGGAGGACACAAGAGGGCAGGAGAGGACAACAAATGGATAACCAAGGAAAACAGGAACAAACAGACCAAGACCCTGACAATAAATTCTATTCATAAGTTTTCAATTGATCTTGCTAACAAACCAAGAATGTTCCCTTTTCTTGTGTTTCTGTCTGATTGTGAGTTTGATGCTGAGGCTGTCCATAGTCACTGCTGCACCCTCAGGTTTAGTGGGGAACTGCTTGTTCTGCCAAATATCCCTATTTCACAATGTTAGATAATCTTTTAAAAATAATTCCTGTATCCAGATTATGATGTGGATCATCACCAAAATTATACAGATTGTTCCTTGGCATGAGGGAGATGTCTGATAAAAATTTCATAAAACTTTTAAGTTATCCTGTACACAGACATAAGTGTTATAGTGCTGTGGGGGAGTGTTGGCTTTGTGGCCAGAGCAGTGAGCTTGTGCTCTAAGTACCCGTTTCAATCCCCGCAGCCTGCCCTCTTGGTTCCTGAGCAGGACCCTTAACCCTGCATTAGCCCACCCGGCGCCGCAAATAGCAGCCCACTGCTCCGCAAGAAGATGGATTAAATGCGGATAGTGAATTTCTTTGCTTTGTACTTGACAATTTAATGACATTAAAGTTGAATTAACAACAAAAAAGTTAAAGTTAAATAAATATTATCAAGTCAACTGAATTAAAAAACAAACAGACAAACAAAAAAATTCAGGAACCAGGATCTCAGAAAATCAATACTTTATCAATTAAGCCACAAAGGCATAATCAGTCCAAATTAAAATGAGAATCAAAACAGCTCCCTGTT